TCAACTGCAGTATTACACAGCATGTCTTGTCCTATTACTTAAAGGACAAGCTTAAAGCCACTTTTAACACCAGCTGGAAGCATCCTGCCTCATGTTGAGGATGCTTGTTACCTGCACAGCAACAATTCTCCACTCCCCTTCCATCAGCTCCTCACAAACAGACAAGTTTTCCAACTGACATAACTGATTGGAAAGAAGCAGAGAGCATCTCAGCACAAGGAATCACACTCACTCACACACAAATCAAACGCAAAACACATGTGGATATTAGCCTTTGCCATGACAAAAGCTCACCCCAACTACACTTACCCAAGCAGATAGCCCCAGGAGTAATCACTTAGGTGAACCATGCAAAAAACAACCTCAAAAGCAGGGTTTACAGCAGTTTGAAGCTTCTGAACAAAACTGCACAGTGACCACCTGTGTCTTCCACACCAACAGGCAGAACTTCCTGCCACTACTTAATGGCATGTGAAGACATTAATGAAAACTTCAGTGTCCTGCAGGGAAGCAAACTGACCCAGAAGCCACGAGGCCGGGTTTAGCACAGTGCAGCACTCAGACTGAGCTGCATTGGGGTGAAATTCTCTCACGAGCCTGCCTGCCTCCGAGCAGGCACAGGGCTTGATACACTGAAGAGCAGGTCAAAGCCTGTAAAGAGGGAAGGGAAAAACAGTATTCGTTTTCCTACTTTACTCAGGGTAATTACCTGCACAGGGTGGGTTATATGACTGGTCTCGAAAGAATGTGCCAATATGACAAATGTAATCCAGGTCTCAGAATCACAGAAGAATTTGGGTTGGAAGGCACCTTTAAAGGTCATCTAGTCCAAACCCCCTGCAGTGAGCAGGGACACCTTCCACTAGATCAGTTTGCTCAATGCCCAGTCCAACCTGACCTTGAATGTTTCCAGCAACGGGGCATCCAGAACCTCTCTGGGCAACTGAGCCAGTGTTTCACCACCTTCATTGTAAAAAAATTTCTTCCTTATGTCTAGTCTGAATCTACGCTCTTTTAGTTTAAAACCATTACCCCTTGTCCTATCACTACAGGGCCTATTGAAAAGTCTGTCCCCATCTTTCTTATAAGCCCCTATCTCCCTGGAACCTTCTCTTCTCTAGGCTGAACAACCCCAGCTCTCTCAGCCTGTTCTCACAGGAGAGGTGTTCCATCCCAATTATTTTTGCAGTCCTCCTCTGGACTTGCTCCAACAGGTCCATGTCCTTCCTGTGCTGAGGACTCCAGAGCTGGACACAGCACTGCAGGTGGGGTCTCACCAGAGCAGAGTAGAGGGGGAGAATCCCCTCCCTCGACCTGCTGGCCCCTTCTCTTGATGCAGCCCAGGACATGGTTGGCTTGCTGGGCTGTGAGCACACAATGCCAGCTCACATCCAGTTTTTCATCCACCATTACGCCCAAGTCCTCCTCAGTAGAGCTGCTCTCCATCCCTTCATTCCCCAGCCTGTATCAATACTGAGGATTGCCCTGACCCACATGAAGGACTTGTACTTGGCCTTGTTGAACCTCGTAAAGTTCATAGGGGCCCACTTCTCAAGCTTGTCCAGGTCCCTCCGAATGGCATTCCGTCCCTCAGATGTGTCAACTGCACCCCTCAGCTTGGTGTAATCTGCAAATCTGCTGAAGATGCACTTGATCCCACTGCCTAGGCTATCGATGAAGAGATTAAACAGTACTGGTCCTAATATGGACCCCTGGAGGGACACCATCACTGATCTCCATCTGACATTGAGCCGTTGCCCAGTACTCTTTGGATGCAAGCATCCAACCAATTCCTCATCCACCAAACAGTCCACCCATCAATTCCGTATCTCTCCAATTTAGAGAAGAATGTTGTGGGAGACTGTGCCGAAGGCCTTACAGAAGTCCAGATAGATGACATCCATAGCTTTTTCCTTCTCTGCTGATGGAGTCACTCCATCTGAGAAAGTCACTAGGTTGGTCAGGCAAGACCTGCCCTTAGTGAAGCCATGCTGGCTGTCTCGAATCGCCTCCCTGTCCTCCATGTGCCTCAGCACAGCTTCTAGGAGGATCTGTTCCGTGATCTTCCCAGGCACAGAGGTGATGCTGACAGGTCGGTAGTTCCCAGGTTCTTCCTTTCAAACCTTTTTAAAAATGGGTGCGATGTTTTCCTTTTTCCAGTCACCAGGGACTTCACCTGATTGCCATGACTTTTCAAATATCATGGAGAGTGATTTGGCAACTGTATCAGCCAATTCCCCCAGGACTCTGGGATACATCCCAGCAGGTCCCATAGTCCCATATGTATGTTCAGGTCCCTCAGGCAGTCGCGAACCCGAACTCTTACAGTGGGAGGGACTTTGCTCCCCAGTCCCTGCCTTGAGGTCCATCTGCTCGAGAGGTGTGGGAAGAAAGGCTGATAGTGGAGACTGACTTTAAAAAGTTGTTGAGTAACTCAGCCTTCTCCTTGGCCAGTTACCAGTTTGCCAGTTGTGTTCACAGGGGAGGGTACACTTTCTTTGACCTTCCTTTTCTGGCTGACACACCTACAGAAGCCGTTCTTACTGTTCTTTACATCCCTTGCCAAGTTCAGCTCCAGCCACGCCTTGGCCTTCCTGACTCTGTCTCTACACAACTGGGCAACATCCCTATACTCTTCCCAGGATAGCTGTCCCTGCTTCCAGCTTCTGTGCATTTTCTTCTTGCCCTTTATTTTGACCAGCATGTATTGACTCAACCATGAAGGTTTCTTGCCACCCTTTCCTGATTTCTTACACAGGGGGATCGAGAGCTCTTGCACTCTATGGAAAGTGTCTTCCAGGCCTTAACACCAGACCATCCTCTCTTTCCAGTAAAACCAAAGCTTTATCTCATAAGGCGCAGAGAACCACTGGGCACCATGTATAAGCAGGTGCCTGCCACTTTTGGGATAATTGCTCAGGAAATTTGAGATAAGGACTCAGTACCTTCCCAGCAGCAATAGATCAAAAACTCATCCCATGGAACCAGGAATCTCTTCACTACACAACCCTTTAATTTGGAACACTGTTTAAAAAACCCCAAATAAATAAATAAAATAATTTTAAAGCCAAACAGACCCAAAACAAACAGACAAACTCCCCCCAAAAAAACAGAGCAAAACCCCCACCAATCTTTTGATTCACAACTGGCCACCAAACAGAAAATTCTGCTTTTATGTCCCAAATGGAAATGGCCTCACAGAAAACAAGTAGGGAGAAAGGCAGTTAGTACTTTCCTGCTTAGATCATAATTACTTGAAACACAATAGTAAGTATGCAGATTCAGATTTTGTTGGAGGTTTTTTAAATTATCAGGAAAAGCCAAATATTCTCCCCTGTAAGACACTGTTCTGCATTTTATCAAGAGAGACTTAAACTAGCCAAGCTTTCTTAGTTCACTTTCCAGTATTATAAGGGAAGAATTATGTGATAAGTCTGAGAAACACTGCTCTACTAACTATATATAGATTGCCTTGGAGATTTTCCAACTTGCAAAGTCCTCAGCAGCTTCTTCACAGAGCAAGTGAGCGAGCAGTTCTCAGAATTAATGTTAAACAAAGGTTTGGCTGTCCTGGTCAGTTTTACAGATGGCAATACTTAAAAGCCTGAAATAAACAATAATTCTTAGCACTAACACATTCGGTTCTATTCCTCCTGGGTTTAGTTTTCAACATATACTAACAGTGGAACTGAGAATGACATCAAACAATTTTCAGAGGCTAAAGAACACTAGAAATTTTCACCACCTAGTGTTAAAACTCAAACGGGTTTGTGGTTGCAGGGGCTAGTGTAATTTTGACAGGTTCAAATGTTCAGTATGTGTTCCCATATGCAACGATTATCTTCTGTCTCTTTGGAATTGACTGGACATGGCAACTTTACCAGCTGTAGAACCATTTCTAGTTTGCCACCAATACAGATGACAGTACATATGCCCACCATCTAGAAACTAACTCAGTGGAGTGGAAATTCCCCAACACAGACAAGCCATTCTAGTCCCATATCTATAAAATAATGAAAGGTCAAATAACAGCACAATAAATCCTACTGAAATCAACAGGACTATCTTGGGAATCACACAATAAAAATCTGTATGAAATTCTGATTAGTGCACAATTTGGTAAGCATTTGGTAAGGATTTGTTTTCCATTTGGTTCTTACAGTTCTCTTGCTCACCATAAAAACTGTTTCATAACAATACCGAGTGTTGCCTTTTGATTTGGGGTTTTTTTGGGTGGTGGTGGGTTTGTTTGAGAATTCAATATACCTGATCTAAGGCAATTATCACCCACTCCAAACTTCCATAATTGGAGTCTGACCCAGGAAACAGAATTGTAGGGAACCAACTCTCACTACACAAGTAGCTCAGAAATTCTACAGTAGCTGAAATACGTTCCTCACTGTACTTGCACGCAGAATTTCTACCTCAGCTTTCATTCTTCTGTTTTTACACAGAAGCTAATAGATGGACATAAGTTAGAAGAAAATGTATCTGCTGTTAGTTTAAAAAAACAAAAAAACAAAAAAACCACACAAACCCAAACAAAAAAAACTCCAGACAGACACAGACAGCTTTCATTTAAAATTGCCACAGCCATTAAAATTCTGCCGCCAACACTCACGCACTTTCACTTCAGTTTGAAAGAGATGAATGCCTGGCAATCGAAGTGGGCAGTGTAGTGTACTAGACAAAAAGATACCTGCTTAAAATGTGCAAGTCAACCTCTCTGCTTATATTTAGACTTTGACTGTCCACTATTCATATTTCAAGATCATTTTACTTTTTTTAGTTATTGTAGATTGGAAATTGCATGCAGTATGATGAGTATTTAAAAACGTATAGCATCTTTTCCCTGTCTGAAAAGTACCAAGAGACAGTACACTACAAAGACACAATTAAAATACTTAGACTGAACTAAAACATCATGATGGAAAGGAATATGTGATGACAACTTCACAAAAACAGTATCACTTAAAGAAAATAATGTGACGCACAAAAAAGCCCGGAAGTGATAATATTTAATAAGAAGACAAGCACTCATAATAAAAAAAGACAATAAAGTTTGATACAAGGTACCTATCTCATGAACTGGTTTTACTAATCTCCATCCCCAAAAGCAGAAAAAATTTTGATTTCTTATTAAGAGATGAAATAACAGATACTGCTGATTTAAACAGATAACTATTTACCCTGCATGCTTCAAATTACAAACAGCATAGAACACAAAAGGAAATATTCCTTTGCAGGTTTTTCGCCATCCAAATACATTTGAACTTGAAATTTTAGTTGCATTTAAATACTCACTACAAGTTATTGTAAATTTGAAAGTATAGAGGAGGTATAGCATATAGATATAAAAATATATAAAATAAATAAGCATATATAGATATGCTTATAGCTGTGACTGACCTGTCTAAAAACATATTTGAATTCCAAAATGAGTTTTTGTTTGATTTAAAACTTAGTACCATTAATCAACATTCACAGGTACAACCATAAAGGTAGTTTTAAAGAAGTGCTGAAAGCAAGAAACCTGAATAGGAAAAACAGTTAGGTCTGACGCTTCTATATGGCTTAAACCAACTTGTCTTTGCAAATGACAGTCTTACTTGTTTGTGACAAAATACCACCCAGGACACCACATTCTTACTAGAAATGTTGTTGGAATGTTAACTGCACAGACAGTGGATGGTGCCTCCTTTGACACCTGAACTTGCATAATTACTGTGACTATTGGGGCAGAACAGGGGCTGCCTGGGCAGCCATGCACATGTGCAAAATACCTGCCACGCTCATGTAGTCATGAGCACAGGCTCAATCATAGCATATACCTGGAAAAAAAAAAAAAAAAAAAAAAAAAAAGTAGTACTTCAGGGTACTTTTCTCCATGTAATTTCTGGTAACTTTGCTTAATTTCTGGCATCCAAATGAGCATACTTTAAAATGGAAGAAATTCTCCTCCACTAGCATTTGCACATGAAAGCATCAGACCTGCAGGACATTTTTCTTGCCTGAACAGGAAACCTGCATGTTTTAATTTTATGTAAATTTTCAGAATATGACAGGCATTCTTTAAGAAACATTCAAAAAAGCATCCCCCTCTCTTACAGCAATGCATTTAATTATGCAAGCAGACAAACAAAGGATCCCTTTAGTGATTAGGGACTACAGTTAGCTAGTCAATGAGTTCTAGCACTGGGTGGTAACTCATGGCAACAGGGGAGACAGAAAAGACAGCAGGCTAGATACAAATAGCAGTCCATCTTGCTATTCAGGATCACAAGAAACAGCACTGCAGAGGGAATAAAAAACAAAACAAAAAACCCCCACCAGAACACTAATGAACCTGCCAGAAAGCACAATTGGACCACTACAATGAAAGGTTTATATTATAATGCTTACTTTTCCCCCACAACCTTTGTGCTCTTCCTTTTACTTTATGCCTTAAGTTTTTGTTTAAGGACCATTTCAGTTTAGCTACTTTATTTCAGTTTTGGAGCTCTACATCTTCTTTACCTATTAATCACTTTTTTAAAAGAGTGAGGTAAAAAGTAGATATTATCCTTACCGACTGCACAATTGATAGGGCATCCTCCTCACTGCAACAAAATGGGCTGCCACTCACCAGAACATTTGTGCTGAAAAATAAAATTTAAAACCTGTTTTATCAATCAGTGGAAAAGAGGCACACACAATTAATTACCTATGGAAAAAAAACCTTCACTTATAGAGCTCATAAATGCGTATCTGCAAGAAATGAGGAAGTCAAAACCACGAAGTACCCAGGAACAGGGGTGTGTGGAGGAGTGTTCTTTGTTTCTCTGCATTTAAGGGGCTTTAAGCTATACATTCTATATAGTAATGCCAGCAGTGCTCATACTCTGCTTCTGGCAGCTCAACTGTGGTCCTCTGAACTGTACCCAAGTAAGAAACCAAATCCTCCCAAAAAGTCAGAGATAAAGTGGCACTTCCCAAAGGAGCTGAAGAACACCTAGATGACCAGCACACTAGACGGTACGAATATCCCCCTTGTGTCTTGGAAGGATGGCCAGATTCTATGGCAGGCCACCCTTGCCTTGCAGTAACCTGCCTGCAGTATCTAACAAGAAGAAGGAAAAGACAGGTCAAAATTCTGCTCCTACATAAAGCAGCAGACACCTGTGATGCCTCCAGAGAGCAGACAAACTTTGGGACCAAACACTTTGCAGAAGCACTTCCTTTCACACCATAAACAAGTTTGGTCATGAGTTTTTAATGTTCTATACAGTAAATGGCAAGAAGTTCAATTCCTCAAAGCAAGACTGCAATTATTTTTTAATTTCATCAACATGAAGCTCCAAGTGCCACTGAAATGATCAAGACCAAAATCTGAATATTATCCCACAGTACTCTCGTCATGCAGAAGCAGAACTACCAACCTGTCCAACTGCTAAGGTGTTCAGTCAGCTCCAAGAAAGAGAAAGTTCTATTTTCCCAATAAAGTAGAAGACAACTGTGACTACCTGAGCAAAGCTTCCCCCCTCAGCCTTTGCCCTCTGGTTTAGCTAATGGAAACCTACAGCCCCTTGAAAGCAGCAAAGATACCTGCCTGCTCTTCAGGGCCTCTGGTGCCAGAGCTGGCAATGCAAACCAGTCCAGAGAGATTAATAGAGTCCATTTTAATTTAGGTTAGGCCAAAGGCTAGTAAAGAACAGTAACGTGGCTCTCTCATTCCAGAGAACAACTGAAAAATATGGAATGCTAAGCTGCAAAGGAATTTTGCAACACAGCAATGCAGCACTGAAGGATGGAATAAACAAGAAGATTTGCATGAGATACTGAGACTCTCCCATAATGATTCCAAACACTTTGGGGACATTTCTCCAAAGTTGAAGTAATCTATGTCACTCTGGAACTGCTTACCAGTAAATCAATTAGTGAGGTATAGCCTATTATCAATTAATTATCAATCAATCAAAACCATGAGTACTCCATTCATCTCAAAGTAAAAAACCTAAGCAGTTCAAGCACAGCTGCCGCATGTTGAATACCACCAGTACTAGCACAATACAAAGAGGAAGAGACATGACTGGACACTTACCACTTAATACTACCTCCATCAGCTTTTTTATGAAGCAAAGCTTTCCAGTATTCATGGGTGGATTTAATAATTTCAACAGCAAAATCCTAGTTTACATCAAGAAAAAGTTTTATGAATTAAAATGTTATTAAAAAGAAAAAAACCACAGAACTAGTTTACTAAAACATACTGTTTCATGTCTTATTTTAAGGGGCCTCCTTCAAGGCCTCATTAAATTTCTAGAAAATATAACACCCTTTTTATGAAAAGAGACAAACTTCCCTATCTGTCAAATAGACTGGCAGCACATGCAGGACTTTCCCTCAGTCCACAGCCAGGAAGCACAAGGGTTGCACAAAAAAAATGAAATCAGCACTAGATGATAAGCAGACACCTACAGCTGTAGAAAACTATAGCAGGTCTTAAATGGGACAAAGTGTGTGAGCTACAACTCCTCTGTTGCATGTGCACATCTGGGTCAGAGTTAAGGCTTCCCCTCTAGTGGCAAAATTTGCATTTACTTCATTAATTGCTCAATCATATATTTAAGCATTTGCAACAACGTAACATGTCAGCTGCTTAATAGTTTTGTTTAAAACAAAAGTAATATCGGGGGCAGGGTGGGGATGAAAAAGCTTTAAAAAAATAAAGTAAAATGAGCCCTAAGTGTCCAGATGATGATATCTTGACTGGTTTGAAAAAAGCTGCCAACAGAACATCCACATTTCCTAACAAGGAGTGACTTGGCAAAATGCCACTGGAACATTGTGAACTTCACCAGAGCTGCTGCTGGAGCACAGCCACCGCTGTCTCGCCACATCCTGGGTCCCTAGAAACACTTGAGAATTATTCCTGTGCTCCAAACCAGCTATCTCGGGGCATTTAGTGCCTCAAGCCTGAACTCCAATGGCCTGACAGGGATACACCGTTAGACTGTTGCTACTGAGCAACGCTTTGCTTTACAGAGCAGGAAAATCTCTAAGAGCAGTTCCTGGGAGAACAGGGGAAAGATCGGGTTATCAAGCCTTACAACTCTACGTTTCATTGATTTAAAAGACAATTTTAGTGCAGAGGGAAGTCAGGGCATCTCTGTAACCAGAAAAAAAAACATGTAAAGATGCCTGTGCTGGTTAGAAGGCATTTTATAACTTTGATAGCACACTGCAAGGCTGAACTAGCTGACACACGGACATCATTCAGTAGGAGCCTGCGATTCTTTGCCAAAAATAGTCTACAGAGAATGTGTAATACACAATTTGCAAAGCACTTTTACTCAAATCACATACAATTTCCTCTAGAAAAATCTAGGTATTTTCTTCAGCGAGGTCTATTCCCAGGTCCACCCTCCTTTCAAACACTGGCCATTTTTACTCGTAGATAGTATAAAATGCCATTCATTTTTTCTAAAAAACCAAAACCTATTTTTTCAGCTTTCAAGCCAAAACCAGTTAAAATGTTTTTACATAGAATTATCAGGAAAAAGTATACCTTGAGCAAATATCAAATATGAAATATGAAACCCATTGTCTGTCTTAAACCATATAGCCTTAAAAAAATGTCAGGAAAATTTATCAATCAGGACTGAAAAAATACCTGAAAAGACAATCTGTTCATTCCTCTGTCAGGGAGAATGAAAATGCTGTGAAAACAACATATACACACAGATGTGTGTGTAAATCTCATCAGGCTTAGAACTGAATTTTTTTTTGCAGACTTCCTTTAGTAACCTAAGCATTTTCCCTGAATAAAATGGAAGACAGTAAACATTATTTATTCCTAGCCTAATAAACTGTATTCAAAGATCCCTTGTATAAAAATTCTTTTTGTTAAACCTCCTTCTTTACAATTCCAAAAACTCTAGGATGTATTAGAGGCCAAATGACAGAATGATGCATCTTTAATTTTCGATTATCTTCACCTTGTCTTTAAATTCTCCATTAAAGGCAAACTGATTTTCCGGTTTACCATCAGGGACTTTATATAATCGGAACCAGTCAACTGTAGCCTCAAGGTAACCTGGTTTGTGCTTCTTGACATCATCAATATCTATGGGTTTAAAAAAAAAAAAAAAAAAAAAAAGGTCATTTTTACTCACAGTTTTTGTAACATTCATTTTTTGTAACATTCATTTTTTTAAAGTCTCATAAAGGATCTGCAAGCAATTTGATTTCACTGAGCACTTTCAAAGTCACTGGGGAACTTCACTTTATTACATTAGCTGCCCATAGTTGATTATGATTTCACAACCACACTAAACAGGTAAACCAGTTGCCTCCTGCCCTTCATTAATTAAGACCCAAAGGGACAATGAATGAAAGGACCATACTTGTGATGGGAGAGGAAGAAAATTCCGTATTTATAGGCTTTCATCTCAGTAGGTACCTCTTGCAATACTTAGGTTATTCAGTGAGGTAATTTTTTTTTCCCCAGCAACTGCAGGAACTACAGGCATTTTTTGATAATGAAAGAATAGCTAGTAAAAACAATTTCAACACATGGATTTTTAAACCAGCACCTCCAAACAAAATAGAGGCTTGACTTCTCAAAGTTACATTAAAGGCATCCCTTTGTTCACATTACTTCCAAATTCAGCCCACTAGATACAAGACTGATATGTGCCAGGAGCACTAAACTAACTCTACTGATAACCACGTGGTATCTGCATACTCACAGGAATAAAACAATTCTACCTTTACCCCTATAATCCTACCATGCAAAGATGGAACAGGACACAGAGAGGAATGCATGCGATTTGCAGGACACCCTTCGGAGGCAGAGACGAACCCTGCCACAGTAGGTACAGAGAGATTAAACAGTCACACAGTCATTCTGCTCGAGGGCTGTGCTGCTATAGGAAAGATGCAGTTCACAATCTTAAACATTTACTTCTGCTGTGCATATCAAATTTTACCAGGTTATCCTGGGAGACCACCATCAGCCCTGTCACTTGCAATGAGGTGGTTCTATCAGCCCCTTGGCAAATTACCTCTCTGGCAACATGTTTACAGGGAAAAGCCTTCAATACAATTTTAATTCATTCTGATACAATAAAGGATTTTGTCCTTTCCAGAAGCCAAATACTTTTTGTAGCTGGTGTAATCCTTCGCTTTCCATCTATTTCCCTCTTACAATCTCTTCTGATGGAAATGGGAACTGACTTCTTATTGCTGTGCTTTGCATGCCATCTTCCAGCTATTTCATAACCTCAGTCTGCCACGCCACCTTCTACAGTGTTATTCTCCTTCTCTAGTGTTTTGCAAGTCACTTGCTCATTTCTCCCTTACTGATTCCCTCTTGCTATCTCTCCATACTGCTTGGCTACTTCATTCTCTTCTTCCATAGACAGCCTCACTCACTGACATCTCCTGATGGATACTCTTCTGTCTATCCAGTCCTCTAAAACAGATTTTCAGAGTTACTTAGTCCACAGAATTGACACTTAGTTATGTGTTTTCCATCTTTAAGTGCCTAAAGGTCTTTTTAAAATCTACTCTGTGAACCTTGACAAAGACATTCAAGTATTTCTAAAGAGAAGAGTAAGACAAGGGAAAAAGTCTTGTGCTACAGACCATTCAATTCTCTGTAGACCACCAAGAGAGATGACATGTGTACTGAACTGTGAGACCAAACCGACATGAGAAGAGATGGTGTTCATAGGCATCTGACAGACGCCACTCCCAAATTCCACTGGATCACATACTACCCAAAGAATAAAACATAAAACTTTGAAGAACCCTGTGTAAATCTTTGCTTCTGCACGCACTTAATAGGGCTACGTGTTTATGGACTCGGAGTAAAACACATTTTGAACCTGGCTGCTAGCCATCTGCCTGTAGAAGATTAGGGAGTTTCACTGGCAGAATCCCAGAAAAAAGTAAGGGCACATAAGGCTGTGCTAGAGGCGGGTCTTCTAGATGGAATACACGTTTAAGAGTACAAGAAGCCTTTCACTGGGGTGGATGGGTGAGACCAAGCAAGAAGGAATGATTTAGAAAAGGGTGGGGTCTTGGTTGGAGGCAGGATGCTTCATCTGGGCACTAATAAAACTGCAGCACCAATTCAAATCAGTTTCAGAGTTCCAGTGTATCATCCTGTTCTCTCCGAGCAAGGGAGCATCCCTCCTCCCATCTTGATCCCTTGTCATCTCCTCTTCTTGTGTGGTTTGAACTCACAATTTCTAGTACTTGTTGAAGAGACAGTATCTCAAGTCTGTAAAGCAAACCAGGCTGCTGCAGCAATTTCCTTGGCTTCCACCAGTGGATGAACTCCAGATCTCCATCTCCAGACACTACTTGAATTCAAGCATACTTTCTCAGACTGTTGCTCTTTTTTTCTGGTTCCTGTTCCAGCAAACTTCTCTCGTAACTCTGCTTCTGCATTCCTCCTACTTGGTTATTTGCCTCTTATTCCTACAAAAACTGTTCATCAAAAGCGCTTTACCGTCTACTGATATTTGGGCCTTTCCCTATCTGTTGTTCATTATTTATAGACTCTGTTTATACTTCTTTAAAAGGACTCAAATATTAGAATAGGCTTTGGGGCAGGCTTTCATTACCTCCTTAAGACAGTGATGACCATCTCCATGGATAGAATCACCTCTCAATTTCAAACGCTCTACTGGAAAATGCCTTGCCTAGGTAAAATGACTACACAGAATCAAGCTACAGCATTATATGGCCCCAAAAGTACTGGCCTGGCTGCTATGTATTCTGGTTTGGAGTACATAAGAAGGGGGATAGTGGTTGCTTTTATTTCCTTGGTTTCCTGAAAGTTATTCTTCTTCATCCCTATGCTTCGCTTCATTATTCTTTATTATGAAAGAAAGCTACTGGGCACCAAATTAAGCTAAAATGGCTGAAGAAAAAAACCCCAACCAATATAATGAGAATTGGTGGTAAACAGTAGGAAAAAGTGCAACAGTACAACAAAAAAAAAAATCCTGTTGCTGTGGAGGCAGCACATAGTACAAAATATAAGGGAAACAGCAGCTTGCACATCACAACAGCTACCTCTTCAGTTCATTAAAAGGTGCCATAGAAAAGCTTGAAAGACAGCTTGTCCTCCACTTGGAAAACCAAACAGCATCTCTGGGATATCGGGGCGGAAGGAGAGAAATATATTCAGAAAACAGAAGAGTAAGCAAAGAAAGGTAAAAGAAAAAATCATGACAAGCTGTACAGTGATTTACTGCACTAATATCTATAGAAGCTAACTGCACATTATGATTTTAAAAAATATTTAGATGCCTTTTCCACAGCAGACACTGTCAGACATTTTTTCTGAACCTGACTGCTTACCTTCCCTTTGAAGTATGTACTCACACTGATGTCAAAAGGGGCTGAGCAAGTACAGGAGTAGCAAGCACGTACCTGGCCTAAAGTAAGCAAGCCCTGCTCCGAGTGACAGAGCAGAAGGGTCAGGCTCCTGCAGGTACATTAGCAGCACGTACCCACTGGGCTCTAGGTGGTAATTCTTTATACTGCCTACATACAACCATAGGTCCCATTTTTCTGGGTACCAAAGTTAAGCACCAAGGGTTAAAAAGAGATGTCTCATCACATTAAGGTTCAGCCTCAATAAGGAAAATCACTAGAGGTTGGCACAAACAATTGCTGCTAGCTCTGTCAAGGGAGGTAGCCAATGCAAACGCAGATCCCAATTCTATCTGGCTTTACAAAAGAGAGCAACAAAAGCATTTGTACAAAACTACCATTTTTAGTACAACAGATGCTGCTTCTTGAAAGCAAAGCTAAACCAACATGCTTGCAGCAAGCTTTCTAAACAAGGTCTGTGGGAAGAGAGGACATATGTTTTTAATAACATCTTATAAACATTTACAGGAAGCAGCAGCTACATTCCATATAAAGGCATTTGGTGTATTTTGTGCAGCGTGGTGAGAGGGTAGGGGGGACCCTCAGTACAGATAATTAATTTCTTTATATTGAATGCTTACACAAATCCACAACAAAGGTTTTCAGGGCCTCTGCTGCTTCTCTGCATATAAATACACTCACATGCAAGGGTCTATAACAATATATGGTACAAAGCATGCAACATGCTTTGGTTTTGCCATTTAGGGTTTGATCACTTAACTCAAAAAGCCAATCTTGAGTTGCACATTGGTAAAGAAGCATGGCAACATAGCACAGTTAACTATACCACTGCCAGCAAATGGTAGTGCAACAAAGCTAGCAGACATCATCAACTGCTGTTGAATATATTCAGGCATCTTTCCAGTAAGCATTAGCAAAAAACGGCTGCAAAGATTCCAAGCCAGTAAATCACCTCCAAAATGCCATCCAGCATACGTGATTTGTCTAATTTGCTCAGAGAAGGTAAGATGACCTTTTGAGAGACAGACTTTTCATAAGCCACTTCAAACACACTTCCTGCTTCAACTGCCAGTGATTTTCAAAACCTCTTGTCCAACATGAAGATGCCATATACATTTAGGCCAAATTACAGCACAAAGGTATCGCTCATCCTTTCTGAGCCTAACCTTGTAAAGAACATCAGGTAAGTATGTGAATTCCAATATATTAAGTCCAATCCAACTTATAAGATAAGCAGACAATCTGCCTTTCCACTCCAAGAATTTGCTGCTTCTCCTGGCTAGTATTTTACACAAAGCAAACATACAAAAAGCAACAACGACAACAAAAAAAAGCAGCCAGGCCTGTTAAGCCACCAAGACTTAGTGTTTCTGCATGCAGGGAGCTTTTAGGCCCTTTCCCAGGCTTACTTGGTCTGAAGTTGCTTTGCAGGTCTGCTAATGGCCATCTGCCTAGCAACTGCCTAAGCAGAAAGACAACACAGGGTTTTTAAGGTAACCATAAAGACAGATCTTATTGAAACAGATAAATCTGAAGATGTCCAGTTTTAGTCTAAAAAAACCTATCATATAGAAACCTGCATCTGATATATAGCTTGTATTTTGTCCCCATGCCCACCAGCATTAAGTGCTGTAATTTCAAACAGATTACCTTCCAAAAAGACACTAAACCCCTGCTATTACCACTGATGACACGATTCCCACTTGAATAGGTGCTAAGAAGTGCTTATCATTCCTGGGTATTGTCACTACAAACCACAGTTTCTCATTGCTCTGTGTGAAAGAGAGTTCTAGGCAGGGCTTCCAATTTAAACCAGTATTTATCAATAAATGCCTGCAGGACACAGTACAGTGGAGTGCGATGAATAAACAATGAGAACAGCACAGAAGTTGGGACTGCTCAGTTTTAAGTTCTGTGAAGTCTCAGAAAAATCAATTGCACTTACGAGAACTATCACAATCCCAGAAGGAGAATATATAGAGTACCTGGGGTGTGCTTAAAGCAGCAAGAGACTGTGCGGGCTCAGGATGGGGTTTGCAAGTAATCACCACTCTGGTGTCTCAGAATTATCTTTTCCAAATGTTCACTGGGGGCTGTGCACATACTGAGCTGAAAGCAAATGTGATGATTCTCAGTCCAATTTGAAACATTTAACAAATTATACAAAACTGACTGGACAGGCTTAGAAGGCAACACTTAGTCTCATCTTGCCCTAGGAGGCCACCACTGTAACACAGCAGCATGTCAATTGAGGGAGATACCAGTTTTATCTGTAGCCTCTATCCCTTTATGCTGAAATAATTAACATCTTTGGGAAGGGGGAAAAACAAGTATGAAAGGACATATTGTACTGCCTACTCCAACAGATTTGTTTGTTTTCAGACTGAAGAAGGATTGCTGTTAAACACTGCAAGCTAGTCATGTTTTGTGAAAGCAGATGGGGCAGATGGGGGCCTTTTTTTTTTTTTTTTTCCCCTTTTTCTTTTCTTTTGTAAATCCTGGACTGCAACTCCAATCCCGAAGGGAAATCATATTAAACTGAATAAATATTTCTGCACTTCTCTGAACCTCAGAGGTCAGTTCTCTTCTTGAAGTTTTGCACCTATTCTCTGGTAAGAAAAGATACACACAGTAATCAACTACAGGCAACAGTTTGCCCGTTTTCCCCCTTTTTAAAAAAAAAAAAAAAAAAAAAAAAAAAGCCAAGACTAAAACTCTTACTCCCCTCCCAAACAACTAAAGCTGTAACACAGCTGACAAATCAGTCATTACCTGAACAAATAAATCCAAACCAAACCAAAGGGCTTTCAAATAGAGCTACTTAACCTAGTGGCATAAACTGTCCCAGTTCTGCCCCTACTTAGTGGACTCTTTTTAATTCTCTCACCCACTTTTCTCATTAAACTCTCTTAGAAATTGTTAAGGAAAAAGGGTAAGAGTGAATCAGAACAGCGTATAGAAATAGAGTGCTAATTACTTGTCTTTTAACCACTGACACTTATATCGCATTTCACTGCATATTATAGAGAGGTTTAAATTTATACTAACATTAACAGCAAACTATTACTTACTATTTCCTTAAGCTGAACTTCTTAACTACTTTGACAGTTAGAGATTAAAGAGTCATAAACACTATGTAGTAATTCATCTGCCCAATGATTTTAATCAGCATCAACCCAAGAGTTTCCTTTTTCTCATTTCCTCTTCTCCCCTTCTTTCCCCACAAGCCAAGTATTCTCCATGTGAAAGCAACCTGCAAGAAAACTGAGAATGAAGGGCCAGTGCAGTGATATACTTACTTTACATTCAGAAACCAGGAAAAAAGCCTCAATGGTCAAGAAACATAATTCCTTAAAAAGCTACTGGATAGCCCTAATCTTCCAGAAAAGCTACTCTGTGCCTTGGTGCTCCCTATCAACAAAGAGCAGGCTCTGACTGTACATACCTGATGGTATATATGGTTTTAGGTCTCATAACAATCACGAACTTTAAGACAAACCTCCTCACTTAATTCTGCTGATTCCCAGTAACATTGCATTTGAGGAAGTGAACCTCTGTTTATCCAGAGAAAAGCTGCACTTTACCTGTGTTGTAAAAACATAACTCCCTGCAGTTTTAATACATCTGTATCATCTTCTTATTGAACAGTCCTGCAAGCAGAATTAAACCTCACATGCTATTCACATAGACACATTTTAGTACTTGAATTCCATCTGGATACTAGAAGCATGGTCACAAGGAGGACAACTCTGGACAGGATATGTCCCCCTGCACAGCTAGTCATCACCAAGGCTGATATTAGGGTGAGCTGCATTAGCAGTTTACTTTGCAAGTTTTCAAGCTAAAAGGTGAAACCTAGTAATTCATACTAGGCAACAAACCTGGAAGTAACCCAGTTACAAGTGACAAAATATTGGAAATGTACAGCCCTTTCTGGAATGCAACACAATGCCTGCAAATATAAAAGGAACAAACATATAAAAGGAAAATAGCAGCGTGCTACATAATCTGAGTAGGTAAATATGTACTATTACACAGGAGATAAGCCTATAATTTTAAGAGGTCACTTTCTAAGGCAGTTGAGTTTCAAAAGTCAAGAGACTTTCTGCGAGACAGGTCCTCTTGAAAACCCAAGTGAATCTTTTCAAAAGCTTAGTGTGAGAGCACATATGCACTCCTTGAAGGAAGCACCTGATTTAAACGGCAACAACAAAAAAAGAAGTCTTGCCTTTCCACTTTCTCTCTCTTCTTGTTCTGGGTGGCCTAAACTCATGTACCATTCTACTGTGCAAGTTTGCAAGTCACTGACATAACTTGTATTAAGAAAGATAAAAATACTTGCCATGGATTTTGTGAGCTTCTGGGTCATCCACACTGATAGCAATTATCTTCCAATCTGTCTCTCCTTCATCAACAAGAGCTAAAACACCCAAGACCTTCACCTGAACAATCTCACCAGAAGAACGAATCTGAAACAGAATATAATCTCACATAGATTTGGAAAACACTACGTAGAATTTCTGTTTTACTTTACAGACAAAATATTTTTACTATACTTTTGACCAGCAGCTAACAGAATTGCAAGACAGATCTGTAAACCCAGTACATACCTATTTAACATTGCTAGCCCTTCTTCTTGCTATTCTTCAACCCTCAATTCTCCAGCCAGCATTTAAACTGACCACAAGCTAGAGAATTTTTCCTTCTCTTCTACCCTACTTCCCCCACATCTTCTTGATCTTCACACCAAACTGAAAGTCAGAAGTACCTCATACTAATTTTTTGACTCCTTCCTGCCTCTTGACTCTCTACTTTCTCAACTCCTGTTCTTTATCTCTTGCTGTTCCTTCCTCTAGGCTCCAATATACACATATAAACACACAGCCCTTCCCCAGAAATATCAGTGCAAGTTTTTCACATTTTCTTGGGAACCTTCTCCCTACCAGCTAATATCCCCTTTATAACTCTTTCTGGATCCCTCGAAATTAAGCTTTAGGTTCCTTTCCTCATATAAAGCCACCTTCGCTGAAGCTATCAAATACATTTCCCCTTACTTAAAAGATCCCAAGAGGTATCTCTTCCAAACTCATCCATTTCATAACCCCATCTCTGATACCACAGAGGATTGCTCCACTCTGCTGCCTCCAGATACGTAGAATTTTCTCTTAGTGAGCTAAAACTTTCCCCTGTACCTACTAATGGTGTTTGCTGCATCTCTTTTTCATCCATCCACTCCCTATCTCAGAACTCTACAGCACTGTCACAGGTTCCTGTCTTCTCCTCTACAGAAGAGGGATTTACTTCTGTTTGCACCCATTAGAAAACTCAAACTGACCTCATTTGTGGGTCTGACTTTGTAATTTTATGTGTATTTTAAGTATGACACTGCCATACTTCCTTATCTTTCAGAAACCCATTCTTAGTTCCCAGAAAGAAATCTTCTCCTTCCCTCAAAATTTTAACCCCCTCCTCTCCTTCACCCAAAACTCACTGTCCAGCTACAGAACTTCAGGGTGGTGGTCACTTATTTTCATTTTTATGCAATACACAGAATTTAACAAATCCTGCCTTTTTTTTTTTTATTTGTAAAAATCCACTGTTTCCTCACTTATTCCCTCCTCAGATCCTCTATTCGTATTTTTGTCACCCCTAGAGACTACTACCATTTTTTCTTGTTTTCCATCTGCCCTTCTCTTCCAAAATTTGTTACCAAATTATTAAATTAACCTTAATAAATTAAATCAATCATGATAAAGACAAACCTTTGAACCAATTTCACAAACATCAATAGGATCATTATCCCCGCAACATCCTGTAATATTATCTGTATGGTTTGGATCTTCCCAAGTCTGTCAAAGAAAAAAGAATTATCAGTTACCAGCTGATCTGCAATTACAATTCGTCTAACCACTAAATTACTAAAATTAATAAAAACACCAATAAAAACATCAGCTTTCTGAGAACAGGCTTGCTCAATGGGAAAAGAAAAAACAAATAAACAGCCAATGAACTGGCATTGCATAACTCGTCCTCGTACTCAGGATGAATAACATGAGGATTAATGAGGACAAAACAAAAATATTAACTGCATCCCGAACTCAACAGATACACTTTATCAAATTGCAGCGATCAAGGTATCAGTGGACCCTGAATGTGTATTTTTCTGGTTACTAGTGGTTGTGGGATTAAGTTAGGACATCCTACAATTACATTCTTCTTATACCCTTTAAATACCATGGCACTAACATAAGTTGCTTTCAAAAACATCTAGGCTTTGAGCTCCTAGGTATGGATTTGTTAGCACCCAATTAGCTTTCTAAAGTTTTTAGGTTTAGGTATGAAATATTGCTGAGTATTTTGAGATGTGTACATTCCCAACAACAGCCAACAACTTAAGGCCAAAGAAGCTTCTCCAGGAGACAAGTTCAAATCCCTGCTCAGAGATCTGTACAGGCAAGGATTCATAGCCAAGTTAACTTAACTACTAGACCAGTACTTGTTTTGTCTCTTACTGGCTAGTAATGAATAACTCATTCTAAAATTGAGAATTTTTCCTGGTAAAAATTTTGAGTCCAATGAAGTTTTGTTGAAAAGGTATTAGAAAACTTTTCTCTCCAAGGAGCCATACTGTTAGCTCCTGCTGACCATGGTCAAACCTCCACCTCAGACTTGTTCCTAAGAACTTGACTGATACTAAAAGGCAAAAGAGTGAAAACGAAATGCCCAAGTGTTTGTTTAGACAGCAGAATCATTACCAAAAAACTGATGAAGTGAAGTCAAGAGAGAACTTGAACTTAAAACTTATTTTTCCAACACTCTTCCAAAGTGCTTTTTATTTAAGGCTGTATTATACCAGTACTATCCTCCTGCCCAGCTGTACCCCTCCACCTGTAGGTTAGAAGGAAAGCTCGCTAGGAATGGTATTGTTCTCTGGACAGTATAGCAACTCCTGCAATAATGACAGTTGTACTGCCATTTTTTTCTTCTCTGTTCCACAGCATAAAACAGCAGCCACAAATACATATCTTTAAGCCATATACTAGGGTTGAACTTCTGGCAACTGCTGATCCTGATGAAAAGTCCTCTTGTGGTAACAGAGACACTGAATTGGATTTTGTTTGTTACAGTGGCTAGTAGGAATCTAGAGCATCATCTAGATGTCAGCAACCAAAGGTGTAATGATCCAACTGGTATTTTGAAGTTACTACAGAAAATAAAAATTACAATTACCTCCAGCTCTCTTGGATTCACAAGGTAACAAAGGGAGTTGAACATTTCTCCTGGGGAAAGTGTCATCAGTACAAAATAATGCACTTTGTGCAGAAAAATATTCAAATGTTTAGTTTTGGCTTTGTACTAAGGCACAAATTAATTTCAAAAGATTAAATGGAATTGCCGGTTCTCAACTATACCTACATGGAAACTTTGTCTACTGAGACTGCTGACTGGAAACAACTTTATTGCTACACGCCAGCACCTGCCTGGTATTTCCTCTTCAGGGATCAAATACATATGCAGATTTTCAGGAGTTTACGTTTAACTGCATAAGCAATGAAAGCTGAAAAACCAAATTACTCTTTTCTAGCTTCATCATGTTCTTCCGTACTAGTTTAAGTCCAATGTGTTATTCACAGAAATGATAAAAGTTTAAAACTTTCCACCACGCTCAGAATTTCAGCCATTAGTTAGGCTTTTTCAAGGCTCAAAGTTCTGAATGTGTCATGATCAGTGAAGTCTCACAGTTCAGGGAAAAGTTAACCAAGACAGTTGAGGTTTAATCTAAAAAAGAACAGCCCTTGTGTTGCTCTTTGCTAAAGATATTGAGAAATACCAATTAAAATTTATGCTGCAATACATGAAAATCCTAAATTAGTTTTTAAAAAAATTCCCTGTTTAAGCAGAAAAGGGCTACTTGACAAAGTATTCTTGAATAGCAGACCATGTCAGTTTAATTCGGTCACTACAGTACAGAGACTAAAGATTCAAGATGTCACGATCATTTAACTCCTTCCTGAAACACAGCACATATTTACACCGATACTCAAATTCTGATCAAAATTTATGGACACAATAAAGCTCAACATAAAAAATCCTAATTTACAAATGTATCAAAGAGAAACATCCCTCTCAAATCTGATTTGCATTCAGACAGTACCCAAGATTTACAAGGCAATTTACACAGAAGACAAAAAACTTTCACTGTTATAACAAAAATGTTACCTGTGGGAGGGCACCATAATTCCATATATAACCCTTGTGAGGAAAGATATTTGCCACATATCGAAGCTTGCCTTTCTTTATATCTTGTTTAATGGGATTCAACGGCTCCTCAGTGGCAATCTAAGCAGATCATGAAAAAGAGAGAGAGAGAGAGAGAGAGAAAGAGAATGGTAAAAGGGAAAGCAATTCATTCTGTACCCAACCAGTTAGAAAGATCCATCTGGGAGCATGTGCTTGTGGTTTGAGTAGTATTAGAAGTACAATAGCCTTACTCTCAAGGGTCATGTTCAAAAAGCAGCTTATTAAGGTTTTAAATAACGTTATGAAGTATGCAAGAAAAAAATGAATCTAGAAGAGAAAGTTATAAATTTATGAGGAGACTGTCATGGTCAAACATAAATACTGAAAGGAACTTAAGTTAGAAGCTCTTGCACTTTATAGTACAAGTTCAACAGATATGCAAATGGTGGCCCGAGTTCTTCTGACAACAGGGTCTTTGGCAGTAATAGGGGAAATGTTTCACTTTCTTCTCACCTTCTGTTCATTGCTCTCCTATTGCATACATCCCTTCTCTCCATCACCTCTCAGCATACAAATGCTTTTTAGTAAGCACAACTTCTGCACAGTCACCAAACGCCAACTTTACGCAGATATGGAACAAGTTAAGCTACCATTAGAAGAAGGTATTCTTATTCCCAAAGAAGCACTCGCAGAAGGACTAAACTAATCGAAGATGAGCAGTTTATTATTGTTATCATCCTCCCCAAAACCTCAAATACAAACCCACTGCCATATGGATTACCTATCACACATCAGCTAATTCAGTGTAACCATCCTTTTGGCACTCCACATTACAATCCAACCCATGTTAGCTTGGCTCTTGATTACAAACACTCATCTGAATGGCATCACATTTGTTACAGGCTCAAGAGGTACACAACTTGCATGCATAAGCATGCAGCCCTTAGTCTACATTCATTTTACAACATCCTTGTAATTTACCTAAAGCACCACCACCAAAGCCATCCCAGAGGAATTCCACCTTTCTGAACCACACCAAACTGTCTAATAGCATGCACTTATTCCACAGGTAAACCCTCCCCAAGAGCTGAGATGAAGGTTCACGCATGTCTGGTTTCACACTTGATTCTACCTGCTTCTGGTCATAACTTAACAATGAACACCTCGAATAGGCCACCCAGGACTTTGACAGAAGCAGAGCTCAGCAATGCTTCTCCTTGCTGTAAACCAGGACAAAGAGGAGTAACTGACAACAGCAGAAAAAAGTCTCATGAAAAGCACCTTCAGTAAAATCAAGAGAAGAACAACAGAAATACAACAAACTGATCAGCAGGAGATCTGGCACTAGGGATGTAAGAGAAACATTCATCCTAAGTGAAGGTTTAATTTTCTACAGTCTCCATTCCACATAAGGGAATCTCAGCATGGAGATGCAGACAAGACCTGGAATTAGCATCTTACCACACTCTGGACTGCACAACTGCCAAGACACAACAAAAAGGCAAGGCAACTGCTGTAACAATTAATGCAAGAAATTTAAAGTATATTAAAAGTTATAGATTAGAGAAATACATTCAGTCTCCTCTATCAAGACAGAAAAGTCTAAGCCCACCAGTTTCTGAACCTACAAGGACAGCAAATGTTTCTACCCTTGACATAATGTGCTGAGAGAAGGGAAGGGAGAGCAACCTGAGCTTTATGCAGAGTTCAAATAGTATTGTCAAAGTGAAACTCTACAAAAGAGAACTCAGCTTCCACAATAAAACATCATCTTCAAATATAAAGTAAATATCCAAAGTAACTCTGCTTACAGAGTAACAACTGTGGTGGTAAATACAGTTCAAATGATTTTCCAGCATCGTGGAAAGGAGAAAATAAAATTTTGAAATAACAGGCTGAGGATGTTCTTTGGTGTTATTTTTAATAATCAGAATAGTTAACAGCTCAACCACAAACTTCCTTAAACACATCCAGGAAGCATCCATAAAATTAATACAAATGTTCAGGAAGACAGGACATACCCTGCTGAGATCTGTTGTTTCATGAACACTACAGATGAAGCATTAGTCAGCTTCTATATTGTAACTGCTGAGAAACAATTCACTAGGCGCTAATTTTAAAATATCTCCCTGCAGGAGTAGATACTTTCAATCAGTGAGGCCCTCACGTATTTTTTTTGTCACAAGGAAATGCTTTTTAATTTGCAACTCCATTTGTCAAGATGTGGCCTAGAACAATATACAGCTGAAACCAGATGAATTAAATCCTCTAAGCGGAATGCTCTATGAGCAAGCAAGAGTAAGACTAAATGTTGGACAATGTCCTGTAAGCCAGTACTCTAGAACTCTGTTGCAGGCATGCTGCAGTCTGCAGTCAGAGAGCTGTCAAGAAGTAGTGCTCACCTGCGGAAAGGAAATGAAATTTGAACCTCAAGAATTTTTATAATTGCGAGGCAAGTGTCTGTATGCACAACTTCAAATTATTTTTTTTTAACTGAGAAAATTTTATGCGTAAGGAGTACTCCATAGTCTGACTAAACTCTGACTACTGGAAGCCACTGCACTGTCATAATAACTTTCATAAATACCTATATAATCAAGGTATTTTTTCTGAATTACCTCCATTTTTGCATTTGTCCAACGAGGCACTTCTACAATCATATTAAACAGGACCTAAAACAAAAAACAGAACTGAAAACAAAATCCATTTGTCAATTAGTAAGTTACAATAAGACAAATTCTCTCCTCTGTATTCAGCAGCAACATACATCACATCTCTCTGTTACAGCTGCTTTTATGTCGAGTACGATTCATTCGGTTCCACACAATAATATTCAACATCCTTGGTTCATCCTTTCCTCACCCCTTTGAGAATGTGAACAATTATAAGCAGTGGAAATCCACATGGTGCTTTTTATTCCCATATCAATATTACTCTTCACAAAATGTTTAGAAAGTCCATGGAGTGGTATACCACAAGGCAGCGTTCAGTGTACTAGTCAAAGAGGATTGTACGTTTCTGTAGGATGGAGTTAGATTCCCTCAAGCACTGGAAAGGACAATGCTTTGGTTTTTTCCCTGTGAGGATTTATTTCTTCACGCCCTCCTCTTTTGCCTCATTCATTTTTTAAAAAAACATGCAAATGCAACAACGACTGACATTTCTGATTCTCAGTCAAATCTGACTGAAATGAGGCAAAATGAATCCGAAAGTGATGGCAGAGGAAGGACAAGGACACAAATATGTCATGTTTGCTATAGCCTTCTTCCTAACAGAAACACAGTAAAAGTTGCTTTAAGGAGGGTGTGTGGGCAATAAACCTAACACATGTAAACTTCCATGCTTTTAGAAGAAAAGTAAGTAATCTATGCTCTTCTGGCTGAGGAGGTTAAAGTGACATTTTCCAAAGAGAAAAACTCTGTGTAACTGCTGTAAGGTTTCTTCTTCTGAAGCTATCAGAGTTAAACACTACCAATGAGTAAAGTATTAATCGAAATGGGTAACCAGACCAAACCACCCAGCAATGTCTACAACTTATTTTCTCCTAGATTACTAAAATAACCCCAAAATATCACACTGCCTGGGACATCTCTTCATAGCCAAATAAAATCCGCATTGGTATTAAAAATTGCAACAGTTCAGGAACGACAAAGTATGTTTTTGCAGAAATTTACAGGAAAATACCCATAAAGTTAAACCAAGTGAAGAGTTGCACTGATTCTAACTATCCTGCAATTAAGGCTCCAGCAGATGCTTAAATATTTGTATTTTTGCTCCTTGTATCCTGCAGCTGTAACAAACAAATACCATTACCAGGGTCAATGCCACAATCTGATTAAAGTAATTCCAATGGTTCTATAATCCTCCCAAACCAACCAGGAATGTGGAAAGTAAGAAAGGAATGGAAAATCCCAACTGTCACTCAGTGTTTCGCCAATGAGATCACAAGCAATGCAGAATCCTGACAGCAAATTCCCAGTAAATTTAAATTAAATTTGCCATGCATAAGTACTGTGCCCATACTGCGATCAGTGGCATGTCAGATAGAATCACTTTTCCTGATCACGTCATAACTAAACAAAACAGAAGAAAAAAAAAAAAAAAAAAAAGATGAGTTCCATGAAGTACACCTTATGTACCTAAGAATGACTGAAACAGAAGTAAACAAAAAGAGAGCTCAGATGTCAACACTGAGGAAGCAGACAGAACAAAGCACTATACATGCAGCAGCAGGTAAGGGCAGGGCTGGAAAAGAGCCAAATAAAGTCTGCACATCCATCTGGGAAACACTTGGAAAAAAGAAATGCACGGCGTGAAAGCCAGTGCTGACAAGCCACTCTTAGGGAACTGCCAAGCAGGTCAAAGAATTGTTCCAACTGGTAGCTACAGGCAGAAAACTTACAAACTACTCCTGGAATTATACATGATGTCACATGTATAAAAACACGATCCTGTATTTTTGTTGTTTAAATGCCATTGTACATTTTCCTGATGGTGTCTAATACAATGGCTTCAGCAGCCTGTAAATCTTGGTTTTGAGCTTTAATCGGTCAAATGTTATTCCAGGTGTTCACCAAAACAGTTCTCAGGACTGGACAACAACTGGACTGAAATGAATACAATGATGCTCTCAAAAACAAAGTATCACTTGGATTTAACTCAGTTCTAATACCAGGCCTTCATAACTTGTGGTATCAGTCAAATCTGAGTTGCCAAGAGTCTTAAATGTGACAGCCTAAAAGATTAATTTGTATGCAAAAAAATCCCCGAAAGTACCCGCTCTAACGCTAAGCTGCCACAAGCATTTATAAGAGGTGATTAACTTCATGCAGTGCTTACATTTAAAAACAAAAAGTTTTATTTATAGGGCAATCACATTTTCACAATGGTGAGACACGATTCACTGGTGTGGAAAGGAGAACACATACTAGATAGTTTGACAGACAGAAAGAGAGAAATATACTCCTCTTTTTTTAGGTTTTTTTTGCTTCTTCTTTCCTATCTTGTATCCCTCCTTGCCTAAATATCACCCCGGAATTTTTCCATCACTTATTTTCCCAGACCAAGTACCTATTCCTTCTGATTGCTTGCATGTTTTCCCCCATCCCTTGCTGCAAAACCATGCCTGCCTCAGCTGCAAACAGAAATGCAAGTGTCAGACACCACCTGTCTTCATAGATTACCATCTGCATATGCCATTCAGTGGTTTGTTTTGGATGGTGACTGCATCTGATAATTGGTATTTTTATCTTTATTTTAAATCAATAAAACAAAAAATTTCACCTCACCAAACCCCAAAGTGAAGCACTTCTACCCCCTTCAGGGAATGGTGAGACTGTTTCAACAGCCTGTTTGACACACCTTTCAGTGACAGAAAAAAGATCTTTCATGAAAACAAAAACTATTGCTTTGGAAAGTGTACCATTTAACTGCTTTAGTATGACAGCAGTTAACTGGTCTGCCTACAAGATCACTGCTTGCTGCAGTCAAGGTTAAACACAACTCTGCAAGCACCTAATGTAGAAGGGACCCTACTTCATGACAGCAGACTGTGCAACAGGCCAGATGGAGTAGTTCCTACAGGCTAGCCTCATGCCAACTCTGCTGGCTGACAGTTTCCTCAGAAGGACAGTCTCCTGGAGCATGCAAGAAAAGAGGAGGAAACAGTTTTCTAGATTCAGAAAAAGGGACAGAACCCATCAGCTAGGGGAAGTGACCTGAGAGAACCCAAGAGGGACTTTTAATCCATGGTATTACATAGCTTGTGTTCACATTAACCCAAAGTCAAACAAGACGGACATTTGTACTTCTGCTCTATTATAGCTTGAGGAAGTGATGGGGAAAAAAAAAAAAATAAATCCATTTGTTCAACACAGAGAAGGCAAAAGTACATTTCCTAATTCCTAAAACTGAATATTAAAATCAGCAGAAAATGACATCAGAAGGAACAACCAGTGTCTAAATGATATCCTTTATTTCCTAAGAACTACAGTACAAAGTACATTACATGGGAACTCACGTGGGATGTAAATAAGTGTTTGCTTTACTGGGGTGTTTTCTTTAACTCTGCTTGGCAACTTACTGCATTCCATTTCAGTTGAACATGATTTTAAATCTATCATGATATCGTGTTTTCTGAGACAAGCAAAAATGTGTCTCTTTCACACAGAGAACAGGAATGGTTTTTGTTTTTTGAAATAAGAAAACCTCAGAAAAATAAAAAGATACACAAATATACTTCAACATACTCATACAGCAAGTGTTGAGAAAAGCAAGGAAAATACAGACTGTTGTACCCAGATAAACTGTGAGTCAGCGTTCTCTCCATTAAGACTGATGGCCAAACATAACTGCTAGCTCTGGCTGTACAGATTCTTACAGAAGATAACTCATTCTGATCAGGGTTTGTAATTACAAACCTGAAATATCAACAGAAATAAAAAAATTTAAGCATATTTGTGATGCTATTTTTACAACCTGCCCTTCTGGACTTCCATACACCCTTCTCGTAAGCAATTCTTCCTTACCTAACTTTCCCTTTCTTGTTCAACTACTTCCTTTCCCAGTCTTCTGAAGTTCCTTAGTTGGTGCATTTGAGGGGAGGGTTTTGAATAGGTATGGTTTTGCCCAAGGGTTGCAAAATTTAATGCTCAACTCTGAAGGTTCAGCTAATTTGAAGCAGAAGTGGAACAACCTCTGCAGAGCAAGGAAAGAGACAAAACAATAAAGAGAGGAACAGAAACTCAGTGTAATTTCGTAAAATGACAAACTTCACCACTTTTTAAGGTCTAATTGTCATTCACCATCACCCTTGCATGACAGGGAGAAGAGATATACTAAAGGTTACAATTACTTTAATAATTTTTATAGTAGAGTGCTTAAAAAAAGAAATCTGAAAGCATTATAGGCAGCACTTGAGGGCTGCTGACCCTTCCTCACTGAGAAGCTCTAAGCTCAGAAGATAGAGTGAAGAAAAAGCAGCTATCATTTCCATTTCTTTTCTGTCCATTCATTTGCAAGCTTGCAGGGACTCTTATCAGCTATCAACTGAACCTGGCAGCATGCACCTGAGGACTAACAAGAATGAAAAAAATGAACTGCAGTCCAGCAGCAGTGTGAACGAAGGACGACGTTTAAAAGGGAGAAAGAGAAAAAAAGAAGGAAAAAAAACAGAGAAGGAAAAATAAGGACTGTCATGAAATACACCCAGAAATAAATGGAGAGGGGCTTGCTTATAAAATGAATACCCATGTTATAAGCATTCCCAATGTAACACTTGCTACAAGGTATGTGCCAATGAAAGCAACAAACCAGATGCCAGCAACATCTGGAGACCAAATATACTGTATCTAAATGAGAAGTCAGTGGAACTTTTCCAACGTAAATTAACATGTCACATAGCAAAAAAGGATGCAGTCCCAGCATAAATGCAAATTGCCTGCAGCCTCTACATAGCGTACTTCCCTCATGTTACAGTGAAAGGGAAATCACAAACACCATGTCAGTTTTTACCCACAGATATCCCAAAAGCGTTGTCAGGCACATTCTCTCATAAACTAGTTACTGGACACATTCACCTGCAAAACTACTCCGTGCACAACCATGACACGAATGAAAATGAAACACTGACCTTCTCATGACCTTCTCAAGTTTAAGGAACCACTTATTTGAAGTCAAGCTTGATCAAATCACTGATGCAACTTTCTCAGTAAACCAACTCTACTGGAGTAGATTTTAACTGGACCGTTGAGTGAAGATTACTTCTATTCTCAGTATTTGCTGATCTACATGTGCACAAAACAAGGCTCGCAGCTATTGGACATAACCATAGAAAAAGGCTGGGCAGGTTCAAGCATCAGAATGAAAGCTTCACTGATAATACAAAGTTTCAAACACGCAAATCCCTGAACACACATAATGGACACACTACAGTCCACATAACACATACCAAAAAAATGTCTAATGTGACCAAAGAAAGTTACAGAGGCTGTAGTTAAGACAGAATACAAAGTCAGTATGAAGTTTGTACCTGTACTGCATGGGAAATGATGACAGCTTTTCCTTTCTTATGAAACATATCAACTTCATCATAAGGCAACTCTGACACCAGTTTTGAACACTGTTCCAAGCATGAGGGCCTCTATCAGATCACCTTATTCAGACTGCATGATCACTCTGATGTCCCCTCATATCTCACCTGACTAGGTAATTTATCAGAAGTTTTTGCCTGAGAGAAGCAATTCAGCTTAAGTCCATAAAGGCATTCCAGCACTATGCAACCCACACGATGCAATAAAACCAAACCTGTCATGTTTCCTTCTTTGTATTTTTTTTTCATATGCTCTTCTGGGTGTCTGCAAGTTAGAGGACTACAACCTCTACATGCTCAGACAAATTCCTTATAGAGGAAAGACCAATATTTTAAATAAAATTTTGTATTCAAGAACTCCGGGGTCCTCTGAATGAGATGACATGTGAATACTTTACCAAAGACATACAGTGACAAGTAGATTAGAAACCCTTTCACTACAGAAAGGAAGCAACATGTTACATTTGTCTTCAAAAGAAAACAATGACCTCTTCAAACCTTCCTGCTAGGCATGGAAGACCATATTGAACAATCTACCCCTGACAGTTTTGACTGTAACCACAGTGGAAACATCCACTCTTCCAGACAGAGATGTGAAACTTTTGATACCTTTCAAAGAAATTTATGTGGGCAGGAGTGGATTCCAAGTGCTTGCAATGCTTAAGACCAAGCAGAGGTTCTGATTGCAAGATGGTAATAATTTTGAGACTGAAGCTTAATATGATTTCTTTCAGCATAGTTTCTCCCTCAAAATAACTTCTCTCTAGTCTTCAAACAGCCAAAAAACATCTGTGAAAGCAAAAAGATCAGTTGTCAACAGTGGCTGCAAAGCTAAATTTAATTGATATTTGGGAAGGTCTCAAATGTTGCAATAGCTGCACTACTGAGAACAGTTCATACAGAAACACCACAGCGTCCCCCTTAGAAGTACAAGCTGAGACTGCAAAACAGCTAACAGAGACTTGTATGATGTGCATTCTCCTATCCCATGAATGTTGAAAGCTGAAAGTTCTCTATTTTGAGACCTTCTTTTCCAGCATCAGGAACGCCAAGAACAACTTCAAGTAGATTAGCCAGACTGAAGAGACTCATGTAGAATTATCTTCATTTTCCATAGATAAACTGCCACCTGATGAACACCAGTTTAGCATAGTTTAACATTCTTAAGAGGGCTTGCCCTTATCAAGACTAACAAATAGCTGCTACCATAAAACATGAGTTTTAAAGATGCCACTGTGTTTCCAGGGCAAGAGGAACTATCAACTTTGAATTCTGGTCAAATTCAGTGAAAGGATCAACTGAATACCAGCTATCAATAGTAGCCTTTGCGTCCCGAGACAAGAGTAAGGAGTACAGTGCTTCAAAGATCTTCAGAAATCAGTATATGGCATTAAATTCTTCATTTTCCTTTTACTCCCAGATTAAGCTTTGCTTTCCCTATATATAAGCACACAGGGATGCATTTCTCACTAGGCCAAGGTGAGGAGAGCTTCTGAAGAGTCCAGTGCAAGAAGAAACTGCTTTCCTCAACACAAAGATCCCTCTATTTACTCTCTTCTCCCCAAAAGCCAAAGACGATGATGAAAAAGGGTTTTCTAAATTATTTGCATTCCCATATTTCACCATCTAAGGAAAGACCAAGCATGTCTGGAAAGCCTGTAGCCTGCATGTTTGTTTGCTTACTTGCATCAGAAGCCCAAGAAGACTGGAATGTACATTTGCCTTAGCTCATTTTCTGTAGTTCTATTAAACAGCAGTCCAGAGCCTTCTCATAGCAGGAGTTATGTGAAACAGCTTCAGAGTCTACACTGGCCCAGGAAGCAAGAGCTGCTCAGCCTTGCTGGCATTTTCCCCCCCAAACTCCATAGATCCAGAGATCAGAAAAAGGGTACTAGAAATGTGGTCTTCAAGAAGCTATCATGCTTCCCACTACACACACGAACGCAGTTTTGAACAATTTTAGACACTGAATAAAACAGGCTTTTCATCTTCGCAACTGGTACTGTCGCAGTATTCATAAGCAGGTAAGAAACAGAATACCTGACTTCCAGCAAGAACAATAAGAATTCACGTTGCAAGACAGTGATTTCTGAGAAAGGCTGCTGGCATGTACTCTTTCTCCTCAACAGTTCATCTTTCAGGCATGATTCTACATCTACTAAATCGTACTCAAATGGGCATCAAGCAACGGGAAATCTAAAAAGCATTACCTAGGCATTGTAGCTTGAATGAATCACAGGGCAAAGGAAGAGGAAATATATAGTGCAGCATTGCATGGGGGCTGTTGTACAGTAGAAGAATCACTGTATCAGACACTAATCGCAAAACTATGAGAACCCAGACAGTTAGGACAGTTCTTTCACATCAGATGGGTAGTTAGTTTTGCAATATGACTGGCTAAACAGATATGAGATCAGGACATGCACCCACACATGACGGCCTTAAAGCATAGTTTAATTTTTTTTTTTTCACTTTCTTCCAAGTTCTAGGTACTCCTACACCAGGGAAAGCACTTCAAAAAATGCTACATTTTGGAAAAGACACCTGCGTAAACAAATCTTGTTTCACAGAAGAAGCCAGAGCAAACTTCCCGTGGTTTCTTGAGCTTCTGTTAAGCCCAACTTCACTGCTAGTTAACGCTGAACCATTAGCAGATGTGATTTTTCTCTCTTTGGGCTTCCCAGATGAGTATAGAAAACCACATATCCTCAGTTCTAAAATGCAATACTAAGTCTAATTTCCCTAACATACTAAGGATTTCTGAAGTTCTGTATATATGCCAAAGATTATCCACAATCAGAGCATAATGAATATTTCATTAACAGAGGTTTTATGGCAAATGTTTCTGAATGCAATAGTAAAAAAGATAACATATCTATGCTGCAATAGTCATAACGAGCCTTTCAAAGACTGGAATAAAAGTGTTTGCCTTTGAGAACATCTTGATGAATAAAAGAATGCTGACATTTCTGGCCCATTCAAAGAGGAGAATATTAAATCCCTTTAAGCCTTCTCCTCCTAAAAGACTTGCATTTAAAGATATGTCAACCATATTCAGTGCGAGCAAGCTCATTCTACAGAATGGTGAAGTGATGTTGGAAAGGAAATAGAAGGAATAGTTAAAAAAAGTTTAGCAGTACCTCAGTTCCAGTAGTCTTTGACCTCTTTGCAGGAATCTCTTTACTCTATAGGGAAAGAGCGAAGTAAAGAGTATACAAAGAAAATTAGAGAGAAGTACTTTATTCACATGAATACAGACAACAGTAGTTTTCAATGAAATTGAAACATCCCTTTGTGAGCATAAAGGCCTATATTAGAACTTTTAAAAGTAGAGTACTCAGTTCTGTTTCATTGTGAAATTATAACTTTCCAGACATTAACAGAGGAAGATAGAAATGTACAAGGAAACATCCACTTTCTCCCGGCTATTAAAAAATTTAAGGGGTAATTTACTCCTGTCCTCAACTGAAAGAGTCATCCTTCTGTTCAGTTGAAAAAGATAAAAAAACAAAACCAAACAAAACCAGCAGAGAAAATAAGGCTGGAGTTATCCATCATAAAATAAAGTCCACAAAGGTTAGGCCAGGGGAGGTTAAGAATATAATGTACAACTCCTTACGTCCTTCTCTAGCAAAGAAGGCAATTAACAGAGACCTTCACAATAACTCCCCTTCTTGCTCCCCCTTCAGGCCTCTGTATCCTGTTGAATGCTCTTTCCTTGCTCACACATCCAAATTAAAGTCTCTCCACATTGATCAGACATCGCTGTACTTTAATGTAATCTACAGAAAAATCAGAGACTATAATCCATCCCTTCAAACCTTAAACTCTAGATGCAGGGACAACAAGGCCCTTAGGCAATGTGTTATGACAAAGCCCACTGCTTTTCCAGCAATAGCACCCACTGAACAGAGCATCTTAGTAATGACTTTCTGAATGAGACTTAACTCCTCCACTGAACAGCATGTTTAGGGTCTGCTGATCAAAAAGGTTTCATGCATATTTTTAATCTCTCAGTTTAAATAATTCAGGAGATTGGTTCATTAGTTCAGAAGTCTCAATCTGAACATGCTACAACTGCTGACCTTTCTCACCATTCATATCACCCAGAGAGACCTGCCAACAAATCAAGAAAACATCCTAAACCCTCCCAACCTGTTTGTGTAACCATAATAAGCAACCCTAAGTCTAAACCAAAGACTGGCAGTTCCCACTGGTGACACATAAAACAGGCGTTTCATTATTGCTATAATGAAACTCCAGGGAGTGTGGCTAACAAGACGTGAAAGTGCTCAGCTGCACCTCACGCCTTGTAATTCTCCAAAGGTGCGATTACCACTTCTCTCTTGGGCATTATTGTTGGCTTCCAATTATAATGCTCCTTTTAGAAATTAAAGAAATACACCGTAAATTATGTAAGCATGTGCTGTACATCCTACTGCAAGGAAACGTACTTTTATTTGCAGATGTAGAAAAATGCCAATTTAAAAATAATAATAGTAAAAAATTAATTGAAGTGCACATAAACGCAAACCTTAAACATGGAGGAGAATTAACACAAGATACAGTGAGGGTTTCCCCTTCCCTCAATCTCTTAGAGACTTAAAGAGATGCCTAGGCTCTTGTCTACACGGTAATCATCACGTTTCACTGCAAGATACTGAACTCAGCAGAGAAAATTTGGTGGTTATTGTGCCTGTTTTACATAAGGAATCAGCCTGAGTTAAGGTGGTCCTTTCTGGTGCTACACATCTGTCTACTAATAGCTAAAAAAAAAAGCCTTTTAAAAACTGCATTTTTACTTAAAGAATACCAACAAAACTGTTACCATTTTGAAATTAATTGTGTTTTGAGTCATACATACCTCTTTAGCTCCAGCAAAGAGTGGAATGTCATGAAATGGGGAAATATATTTACCATCTGCATTCTCTGAAAGACAAAATAAAAAAGTAGCATTACAAATCTAAAGATACACTGTATTATGTGTTACAGAAATGTATGACATGCCATAATTATTCAACAGTTAAACTTTTTCTGAAGTTTGATTCCAAGGACTAAAAAATAACTTATGTGCATGACAAGGAATTTGATTGTTTGACAAGGACTCTTTAGTATCAAAAGTATTGCTTTAGTATTCAATACACTTCTTTTCTAACTACCTGGAATACAAGCTATGCAAAGATGAGAAGATCCTTTAATCTCTTTTCTTCTCCTCCCCACCAATACACAACCATTAATGGATAAAAAAATACCAAGGGAACCTCATTTCCATGCGTGAACAGTGAATTCATCTGGGTTTCTAGCAATGCTGCCCTTGTGACTTCACTGTATTTCTAATAAACCCAGTTTCATGGCCACAAAGAGAAAATCCCCCAAAACAGTAGGCCGAAGTCCAACCAAAAGAATACGTGAGGGATGGGATAATTGCTCAGGCCCTAGACATGAAACACCATGCCTCCAAACCAGCAGAAATCGACATCAACTTAACAGGGGTCCAATCTGCACCTCAGTCTTGCTCCCACTGTAGAAAGGAACAAAATTCACTGGACTGGATGCTTACGCTTTTCAAACTACTTGGAAATTTTTCAACATACTAAAAGCCTCAATACTACATCAAAACAGAAACATCAATATCAGGTGTTAACACACATCCCAAGGAATTTCTCCTCTGCTAGCACCCCTATTTACAGTAATGGGGAAAGCAGGCAAGGGAATTCATTCAGCTTCGGACTGTACTTTGACCACCTCTGCAAAGAGGAGCATGTGGTAGTAGTTTTTTCAACTCCTGGAAGCCTCTCAGATGCTCCGCCCAAATAAAACAAACTTTAGTAGTAGCCTGCTTATTCCCAGTAACTAAACTGACCCTCTCTGGATGCGCCCCCACACTGGCAGCCCCCCGGGGACTGAGCACAGGGAACCTCTTGCAGGGTACTGCCGACAGGGTACAGGACGTCTCCTCCGCTTCTCACGTCAGAATTAACCGCTTCTAAGTCAATGGACCAAAACCGTCCAAAGCCACCCCTAGGGAAGCGGCACACAAACAACGTTGTTACTAAAATGCGTGATACTGACGCTGCACGCCACCTCTCACTGGGTTTTGGGAAGCCTCCTGGAACGCTGCCCATGCCCTCCTGGTGCCGCTGGGTGCTGCGGGCCCCACGCCAGCCTCCCTTCACGGCGACGTTTCTGGAGGGAGGGCTGGCCTGGTCACAAGGGGGACATGCCACGCTCCCACTGCGCGGTCATACCCGCGGAGGCGAGGCGAGGCGAGGGTCCCCCGGCCAAGGCTTGTCCTCGGGGTCCCCGAGCGCCCGGGCTGCCCCAACGCTGCACCCCGGCTGCGCTTCACCCGCCGCGGCCCCCGCGGGGCTGGGGGAGGGCACGGCTGCGCCGCGCACACCAGCACCACGACTCAGCAGGCCCAGCAGCCCCTCCAAAAGCGGATCTGACAGGAAATCCCCTCACTCTCGACAAAAACGAAACAAAACAAAACAGCCCCGCTGGAGCTGGGAGCGGGGGGAGGCTCGGCTCAGGGGGGACACCTCGGCCAGCTCAAGGGGCCTGGGCGGGAGCGGGGATCCGCCGCCTCTCCTCACCATGCACCCCGCGAGACGGGGAAGGAAGAGGTTCTGCCGAGTCCGGGGGCTGCTACTTACTAAAGTAGAGGCGGTAATCGGGCGAGCTGGGCCGCCCCCGCTGCTCCGTGCCGTAGCGGGCCATGGCGCCGAGGCCGCGGCGCGGCGGCCGCCCCCACCCCCGCGCCGCCAGCAGCCTCCCCAGACCCGGCGGCGCGCGCATGATGGCGGCCGCCGCCGCCGCCTTCCCTCCCCTTCCTGCGGCCGCCGGGCCTGCGCCGCTCAGCCCCGCCTGCCCCTCGCCGCGGCGGCCGAGCCGAGCCGAGCCGTGCCGAGCCGAGCCGAGCCGAGCCGTGCCGAGCCGCCGGGGGCCGCTCCCTGCCTCCCCGGGAGGGGAGAGCCGCCGCCCCGCAGCCCAGTCGCGGCTGCCGCCTGAGGGAGGGCAGGGCCGCCACAGCCCGCAGCGGCCGCGCTGAAACGGCGGGTGCGCGGCGCGCGCTTCCCCTCAGGGGGCAGCTGCCGCCGGGCCCGGGCGCTGACCCGTTCTCCCCGCGGGCCCCGGGAGGTGGCCGCTTCCCCCTGCTGAGGCCAGGGCGAGCACCTCAAAAGAAGAATGAGGGCCCGCACGGGCCCAGCCTCAAGGGAGGGGCTCTCCCGAGTTGAAAATAATTTAAAAAAACCCTCCGCTTTAGGTGGCGGGTGTTCCCCGGCGGGAGTCAGGCGAGGCTGGGCGGGTGGTACCGCAGCTGCACCCACGCTGAAGTGCTTTGAGGCCGCGAGTGCTGCGAGGGGTGATGGTGGAAGGACTGTTGCCCTCACCTGCGGCCCACGTCGGTGTGAAGACCCTACCCTGCCGCTCCCTAGGGAGGGAAGCATTGGTTTCTCCTTGGCATGTGCAGTTTTATGTCGCCCCAGCCAGTCTGACTGCATGGCTTACAGGCGGGCTGTTTGCATGGGTTCCCAATGGTAGCTGCATTTTTTTTATTTTGAACCCTGCTGATACTTAAATTAGATCCTCATCTGTATTCAGGTTGTGCTGTTTTCAAAGTTTATTACCCCTACATATGATCTGATTCCTTTGAATTCTCTTTTCATTGATCCTTGAGGAGGATTTCAAATGAATCTGTCTATACAGGTGGTTGTCCTTGGAGTAGTGCTTCTTATTCGTGGATCTTTCAAAAATTCCCAACGAGGGGCAGATACCACTATTTGCATTTTATTGATGGAGAAACTGAGGCAGAACAACTTCTGTTGCTGTCATAACTTTTAAATCCCAAGCCAATCATCTCATGTATTCACCTCTGAAAGCAGTCAAAATTTGCTTTGAATTTTAACTCTGATTTGAATTACCCTGAGTTTTTCAAGATGACTCCATTTTACCCTGATTGTTTTACCAGTATTTTAAATGTTATTGGGAATGATTTATTTGCATCAGAAAGGCTAAGTCAATCTCTTTCATCAGATTTAAACAGTATATAACTTCATATTCCCTTTATTTGTACCCTCTACTGCTTGATAGATCGGCCTTCAAAAGCATCAGGATTGTCTGTTTGGGGTGTGCAGTACAGATCCAGCATTATTTTACACCAGAGTGTGAGATTTTCATGATGGCCTCGGTCACTGTTCCCCCATGTACTCCTCTGAAATATATTAGTTGATGCTCTGGATCTTGGAGGGAGCTGTATTCTAGTGTGTGGACTTTCCATGACGATGAAGGCTCTAGGGAAAAAAAAAAAAAAGCTATGGTCTTCTCTGATTTGTGCCACTGCTTACTATGTTTGTTGTAACAGACATATCTCCAAGAGAACGGAGAGGCTATTTTGCAGACCCATTACCCACCTCTACAGAAGCTGCAAAATAGCAGTTGGCATTTCACCAGAGGATTTGGCAATTTTTCACAGAGTTTACCAAATGGAAGGTTTTCAGGGGTGACCTCCTCAACTGGACATGTGGGGTTGAAATTTTTTATATACAGACTCTATTTGAAATTCTTATTTTTTAGAGTTTGTCAAGGGGGCAAATCATCTGTTTTTCATGTAGAATATATTTTTTTAAAAAGATTTTTTTCTATTATAAAAAAATCTATTCTGCACTTTCTTTGAGTTGGCCTGCTGCTGAAACAAAGTTAAAACCAAACATGTGCCCTAGGCCTAGCCTTCCACCTCTGCTTAGTTCTGAGGAATCTGGATTTCATTTATGGCAGATTGGAGCCTTTGAAAATCACTTACTGAGCAGCCACACAGTATTTTTACTCTTGCAAAGTTGGCAGTTGGATATAAGGTTATTCCAGAAGTCCAATATATATTTATTTCCCTGTACAAGCTGGGAAGTGAAATACACTGCTGTGGCCAGGAGTCCTTGTAAGATGCACAAAGTCTGTGTACAGAGTTCTCCGTTGCCTTGTGTTGTGAACGTGGTCTTATCTAAAGCTTTCTTATCTGTAATGGGAAATCAGCTGTGAAACACTTGGAATGTATGAAATATGAACAAGTTTCTGTGCAGGCACTTTTTAGATGCGTAAATAGATGCCATCGTGTTACCTAGCAAGGGTAGATGATGCAGCAGAAAAACACACAGAAACCCTGTTAGTGCTGCCAGAGCAGAGAACATGATGTTTTAGTACACTAAGGTATCCAAAATTCTCTCAGTACTGCAGAAACAATATTAATAAAGCTTTAAATAGGTTTGACTGTATCTCTCAATATTATGCATTCTATTACACAGAAATGGCAGAAGTATGCACAGTACTCCTCAAGTCAGATTTGGGTAAGACCAGCTTCCTGGTTAGAATAAATTTACCTAACATTCTTGAATGTTTGAAACAAAAGAATGTTTTGGTTCCAGTATCTATCTTACGCAAGTTCTCCAGAATTATCGAAGCTTTTACTACCAAGGTATTATTTTACCTCTTTTTTACATCCTGTTCCTTAAAGTATCATTCCAGCTGGGCCAGCAAGAGGCAATGTATAGGACTGATCCCATTTCTTGACCTTGAAAGAGCTCGCACTGAAAGACAATGAAAATATTGCTATTTATTTCAATGGAATTAGAACCAGGTCCTTAAGACTTAAGTAGGACTTACATGGTACTTAGGTTTTATGCTTGCCCTCTGCACAGGGGTGAATCTCATTCCAGCAGAATGCCACTGGAGTATAGCAAAAACTCAGCAGTAGTATAATCACCTAAGCCTGAAGGACATCCTTACTTTAAAAGTTTGTACTTTGCAGTATGCATTTACATTTATGTATATATTTTTATACACACGCACACACACATATATAAAATGAATGTTTTGCCCATGAAAATGCTGTGCAGATTACATGCAGAAAACATTATAATTAAAAAAAAAAAAACAACAAAAAAACCCAGTTTTCCTTCCTCCTGAGTGAAAATCATTTTCATCTTTTCACCTAATAAGGCTTTGAAGAATTTCATTAGTACCACTCAGTGCTATTTCAGTGCTTTTGCTCGTGACTGGTGATCACATCATTATCATTAAATTTTGCCGTAATCTAAATTCGCTCTCCATGGCTTATAAAACTGTTAATCCAGAGGAACCCATGCTTGCCAGCCGCCTGTTTTGCTGCTGCGGGTGAGCAGCAGGCCAGCAGCTGCGGGCAGCCGCCCTCGCCGCCCGGCCGCCCCCGAGGGCCAGGCCACTTGCCCGCACGTGCTGGCCAGCGCTCACCCGCTCGGCCCTCGCCGTCCCACCGCCGTGCCGCTGGGTCAGCCCAGCTCGCTGCTCCCGCGGGCCCAGCAGGGCTGGCTGAGGCAGTGCGGGGACGTGGGCGAAGTTAGTCAGGGCTGCTTTCCAGCTGAAGCAAAGTTAAGGAGCGCGAACAACTCCTGCAGGTCTCTGCGCTGGCGGTCGGCAGCAGGAGGAGGAGGAGTAGTCGTCGGAGCCGGTAACCTCCTTCATTGGCACGGCTGGATTTGGGAGACTCACGGACGCGTTTGCATTTTACACGCTGACAGATGCCTGATGGCAAGAGAATATGTCATCTAACTAAAAGGAACAAATTGTGTATTTCAATAACTAGAGTTGGGTTTATCAGGTTATGTTACTTCCCGTCCCAATGTGAATAAAGACAGAAGCTCCCTATCCCAAAGACACTCTCTACCTTGGGTCAGATTGTGAACCCTTTTTGTAGCAGTGAACCCACTTCAGTAACCCTATCACTTTAAAAAGGCTGACCCTCTCTATTTATGCAAAATTTGGTTTTAGTTGTAATATTCACTACTGTGTATAGGAAGGTGTCAAGTTTACACCCTGTTTTTTTTCTGAATAAGGTGTTTCTCTGAGCTGTTAGTTTTGTTGTTAACCATGCTTTTCATTAGGCTGCCCGTAGTGTATGTTAGGATTTGCTTGCTGGATTAACTTCTCCGGACCTCTGCCTAGAAAGTGATTTGCCTGTCAAGAGGCCAGGACACTGCGGCTGAGTGAAGCTTTGTAGGATATGCCCATTTCTTCCCTCCTGGGCATCTGTACTGAGTTCATTTTAAGCCTCATGAACCAAGGATTTTCAGCCTGCTGTAACTCCCACCAAAACTTGTTTGTGAGTATGAACTAGAACTTCATTTTTCTTAAGACTTTTATCTTTGTTACTCCAAAGCAACTTCCCCATCACAAAACAGAAATCTCCAAATAGTTTTCTTTCCCATTCTTTCTTTCATTTGTTCTTTCACATACATGCACATACACAAGAAGAGAGAGAGAAAAAAGGTCCTGGTTCAGCTATAAAAATACTCCCTGGAAACATGAAGTTTTAGTGCGAAGCTGCAAATCTATAATCATTCAAAACAGGGACTTAGAAGGAAAATCTCGCCTATTGCTCATGATGGTCTCTTTTAGGCTCCATTCCCTTCTTGATTTGTGAATTGCCAGACATAAGGTTTTCAAAGAATCCCACAGAAAATATTTCATCTTTGGTAATTTCTACACCCCCCTATTTTATATCCAAACATAACAATAATGAAGATTCATCTTCCTGTCCTTTTATCTGTGCCTTGCTGGCTTGCTTGTCTTTTCTCATTAGCTTTGATATCACACTGCCATCTACTTGATCAACAGAGTCAGGTTATTTTCCTTAGAAAATAACTGCACGGCTATAACCCTGATGAAATCAAAGGGCTGCTCAGTTTCTTAGCTAGTTCCCCTCTCCTCCGCACCTCCTACCCCTTTCCGAGCAGCACGGCCCTTAGGTGTGCGCCTTTGGGAGCTGGCCCCGCTCCGAGCCTGTTTCACA